CCCTGGGTCGGGTTGCCCAGGACAGCATGGGATCACAAGGCTAGGCAGGAGGCCTCGGGGGGCCCCACACACCACTGTGCCTGTCCCTCAGCCCCCACGTACCCCAGCCCAGCCTCCTCTCTGCATCCCAAGGGCCCCGTGCGCAGCAGCAGCTCGGCTGCAGGGGGCATCCCCCCCGCTTCAGGTCCTGCCTCCGTTTCCCCGACCTCACACTCTCCTCCTCTGCTCCCCAAACAAGAGGAGACCCCTGGGCTGCCCAGGCCTCTGCTCGCCCCACCCTGCACACTGCCCTGGGAACCAAGCCTCAGCCCAGGTCAGTGCCCCTCCACACTGACAGCTGACTGTACCAACTGTGGCTGCAGCCCAGGCCCCACTCCCAGTCACGGCCCTGGGCACCACAAACATCCAACGGCCACCACTGAACTTGCCACCTCAGAGCCCTTCTGCAGTCCCTGTCCCTGATGGTGCTCCCTCCACGTGACCTCTGCCGGGAACCCGGGGCCACCTGACTCCCCCTTCACCTGTGCCCTTCTCCTGCATCTCTGGCACAAGCTCTCACCCTGCTGCCTGGAAAAGGCCTCCCTGCCTCCTTTGCAGCCCCTGCACTCTGCTTTCCATGCTGCAGTAGCCAGCGCAGACCCCCAGCCTCACCCCCTGCCTCTATGACACCTGCTTTGCGGCCTCTTAGGGCCCTATCTCCCAGCACCCCGCCTCCACAGCACTGCCCGGCACCTCGGGCCGTGCTGGTGCCCCGTCTTCGCTCACCCTGTGCTCCCAGCCTTGCCCCTGCAGCACCTCTATGTCCCCCGCCCCCAGCCCACCCAGATCCCGGGTCCCGTCAGCACGCCTGACCCTACTTTGCGACAGCCCTCCCAGCCTTCCTGGGGGCGGGTACTGCAGGGAAGGGAGAGCTGGCTGAGCGGCAGAGGCTTGAGAAGCCGAGCCAGCAGAGGCACACCGCCTGCTGGAAGGGTGGAGACGCGAGCGCCCTCTGGTGGGCCCAGCATAGCTCAGCACTTACAGCAGAGCAGGCTCAGGGACTGCTCACTGCCCAGGGGACTGCACACACCTTTGAGGGTCTTCCGAAGATGTGAAAGGAGGCCCCCGAGGCGCTGCAAGTCAAAGTAGTCCACTTTGCCATTATAGAAGACCTGGGGTGGGATGTAGGCCTCTGCAAGGGGTCAGGGAGGCCGAGCCGTCAGTCAGGGCCCAGCAGAAAGACCCTCCCCAAAGCCCCCTTCCCCCCAGCTCGGGCCTAGCACAGCCAGGGACTGCTGGCTTTGGCCACCCACCCACCAAGGCAGAGAATGGGGCCGAGAGCCTAGGCCTCCCCTAGCTCCCCCACCCCATCAGTAACAACGCAACTAGGGAGGAAGGGGGAGTTCTCATCATCAGTCACTCGCGGGACAAGCAGTGAGGGCCCACCCCCAACCCTTGGGACGCCCTCATTCAGGGTGGCTAAAGCTCCCGCTGACCCCTGGGGACTCTGTCCCACACAAACACAAGGTCCCCCAGCACCCACCCAAGGCAGCCTTACGAAGGACTGCACAGAGCTGGGTGGGCTAGGGACCGAGGACAAGAGCCCGTAATGGGAAGGAGCCTGTGGGGACAGTGAGAGCAAACGTGGGTTCAGCAGTCCAGGAGGGCAGGGCTCCTGCTGCCCCAGTGCAGAAGCCACCTGTAGGTAGGGAAGGACTCAGCTGGGCGGGAGGCGGGGGCCAGCCCCCTCCCCACCCCTTTAGCTCAGCGCTCCACACCAACACTGCAGACTGCTCTGGGCCTGGCCCTGCCTAGCCTCGCCGACCTAGGGCCCTGGCACCACTCACCCTCACTGCAGGAAGCACGGGGGTTGGAAGCCTTGTATTCATCCCAATAGTACCGCAGGGCGGAAATGAGCCGGTGCAAGAAGCAGACCATGTACTCGGGGGGGCAGAGCATGGGCATGTTCTGGGGGCAAGGGAACACAACAGGCATCGGTGCCAGGCCAGAGCCCAGCTCATCCCAGGCCCTGCCCCGGGACCCTGGGGCGAGCAGGGCTGCTGCGGCCCGAGAGGTACTGGAAGCCAGGGCGCAGCCCCCACAGCAGAGTCGGGGGTCCTCAACAGGCAGGCAGGCCTTGAGGGCACCTACCCCCCGGCCACTGGCGTTCTCTTGCAGAAACTTTCGAAACTTGGTCAGGAAAATGTACCTAGAAGCTTCACCCTTAAAAGGAGAGGGGAAAACGAGCCTGAAATGAACGGAGCATGCTGGCCCAGCCCAGACGGGCTCAGTGTCCCCTGGTCTCGGGGCCCAACATGCTACCCCTCCCCTGGGACCCGCCGGGCGTGTGGGAGTCACTCACCCCATTGTCATCTTTATTGTCCAGCAGCAGCTTCAAGATCTGGACCTGCAGGGCTTCCACCACTAGGGGTGGGCAGCGAACAGGGCCCTCAGCTCCCAGGAGCAGGAAGGGGTAGCAGGTCTGGGAGAAGCCTCCACCCACCAGTAGGGCTCCTCAAACCCAACCCAGGCATGGTCACTACCAAGCACCCCGCAGGGACAACCACCAGGGACCACCACCAGGGTCCCCCCGCCCTCGCCAGGGCTGACCTTCAATGCGCTTCTTGAGCCGCTGGCAGCCCCGTTCGTAGGCCCTCCGGCGGGGCCGCTCCTCCGCGGCCTCCGCCCGGTCCTCCGCGCTGTCTTTGCCCTAGACAGGAACGTGGGCACACACCACAGAGGAGTCACCTAGAACCCACCTAAGGCTACTTCAAAGACCCCACCCCAGCACCAGGACTGCAGGGACCAGAGCTGGAGAAGAGATCTCATGGGCTAAGCGCCAGGTAGCTCGGCTCCCCTGAACCACCCTCAAGGGATGCTGCTCACCTCCCTGCTGGAGCGGTGGGGCCACCACGTGGTGGGAATGAGCTCCTGCAGGCCGGCCTCCTCCACGCGCAGGGGGCTCTTGATGTAGAAGAAGACCACTGACCGGAGCACGTCGAAGCTGGTGGCAGTCAAGGCCCAGCTCTACTCACCACGGTGACCCCTGTACACCGTCATGGGGCCGCCTGGGAAGTCCACACCAGGCCGCGCCCACCAGGGCTCTCCCACCATCCGGGGTTCCACTGCCGCTATGTGCCGCCTGTCTCCCCAGATCATGAGCCTCGAGAAGACCTCTGGCTGTCAAGCCCATCAAGCCCAGCACCTAGCAGGCGCATGGCAAGGCTTGTCACAGGAGCAGACGGCTGCGGGAAGGGAGGCAGAGAGGCCCTGGGTCCAACCCTGGTCCCCGTGTCGCCCAACTTTTTCTGCCTCTCGAGCCCAGAAGACCCAAGAGCAGGAAGATGACCCTAAGGTTAGGCCTCCCAGCCAGGGGCCCAATGCTGGGCTTGCCCTCTAGATCGATGCACGTCTCAACATTTTGGGGAATCAGCAAGGGCTGCCGCCCCGATCTCCGTGGCAGAACACGGTCAAAGGGACAGGCACCTGCAGAGGACAGGCCTTGGTGGTCCTTCCCCCACTGCCACATAGCCTGGAGCCTGCAGTCACCCACAAGCCCTTACTCGGGTGGGCTGCGGGCTCGGGTCCTCTGCCCTGTCTTTCCTCCGTGGCTGCCCCTGGGACAAGGGCTCACATACTGGGCAGCTCTGGGCCTCCTGAGCCTCCTGGGGGACTGATCACTGCCCTCCCTGGCCTCTGCTGACCCCACAGGATGCCACATGTCTCGCTGGCCTGGCAGCAAGGGGAGGATACAGGACGTTGCTAAGCAGAAATTTGCGGGACTTCTGATGTCTCAGGATGGCGATGGTGAGCCGCAGGTAGTGGATCTGTGGAGAACGGGTGCTCAGGGCGGGTGGGTGAGACCCAAGGGGCTCAGGGCAGGGACAGGTTAGGGTGCTCCCACCTGCAGGCCCAGGTCCGGGACGATGGGCGAGAACCGGTACAGCCGCAGCAGAGACATCATCAACTGCTTGAGGCAATCCTGTACCTCGTAGTCCTGGGGGGCGGGGTGGGGGGAGATGCCAGGGCAGCCATTTCAAGACCCTCCCCTACCTCTCCCTCACCCCAGCGGAGCCTGGCGGCCTAGCCTGAGGCTGGGGTCAGGAGCCTCACCTCCATGAAGAGCCACAAGAGGTCCAGGATCTGGTGCACCGCCGACTGCGCCTGTGCGGGTGTGGCCTTCTCCACGATGCCCAGCAGGAAGCTCATGAGCACAGCCTCCACCAAGTACACCTGGTGCTGCGGCGAGAGCAGGCGGTGAGGGCGGCCTGCTTGGGCACGTGGCCGAGGCCCTGCTGAAGGCTCAGGCCTGAGGCAGAGCCGTGGGTCCCACCAGCAACCCCGACGCGTGGATGAGCCCTTCCAGAGGCTAACAGGGCCAGGAAGGGTCTCCGTCCCACGGCCCTTCTCGGGCTCAGCACACGCGCTTTTCTCACACCCTGCAATCCTTTCTCGATGTCCCCTCCTCCCCGGGGAACGGTCCTTCAGGTCTGAGGACCCCACGCCCATGGGGATCCTGTAGGGGACACTACTGGGCCTCGCGCACCACAGCATCCCAACGCCTGGCATGGGCGTGTCCAGCCAGACACGCCTTCCCGCCTGCGAAGTCCCCTCACCAGGAGCGGGGCGAAGCGATGGAAGATGTGGGCCAGTGTGAGGAGGACAGTGGGCTGGCCCTGCAACTGCCACTCAGAGCTCTCCTTCTCCACCAGCCGCCCTTCCTGGTGGGGAACACGGGGAGAGAGGGCTGTGAGGCCCTGAGGGCCATGCAAGGGCCCAGAGCACCCGGCCAGCCCCTGGCTCACCATGGGGTCCAGCTCCACGCTAAGCACTGCCCGGAAGCAGCCCAGCAGCCTCTGTGCCCGCGTCAGGTCAGCACACGGGGGGTCCTGCAGGGGCCGATAGCCCGCCACAGGGTAGGTGCCACAGAGTTAAGGCAGCAATACCTGATCTGTGCTCAGAGGCAACCCGCCCTCCCCAGGAGACCCGAGGAGGGGTCAGGGCCCCAGGGCAGGGCCGTGGTGTCCGGTCTGCGTCACTGCTCCCCACGGCCTCTCTGCGGAGTGAACGTTCTCTTGCCACTTCATGGTCGACATCTATTCAGGGGAAGCAACAGAGGGCCCCACCCGGCCAGGTGGCTGCAAGGTTGTGGTCCTCGGCACCCACCTAGGCTGCGCCCTCCCACTCCTCACAGCAGCAGCCCACGATGCTCCAGACGCAGGAAGCCTCTCAGCCCAGGTTCCCTGGGAGTTTCCAAGCGGCCCGCAGCCACCTTCCCAAAACGATATCGCAGCGGACGGCTGCCGAAGTTGAAAGCCACGGACTCCTTGAAAGAGAGGCTGATGGCAGGGAAGTAGGCCATCCCCAGACCCCTGGACAGGTTCTCAAAGGCGGTGCCCAGCGACACACCGTTTCTGGAGGAGAAGGGGGGTGTTGTGAGCCAGTGCTAAGAAAGGCGTGGCTGCCCACCCTCAGGCTCCCCTCACAGGCACAGGGAACCTGAGGCCGGTCTGCGGGGCCTGAGGCCTGAGGTGGGACACTCACAGGCAGAAGGAGAGAGTGCCATCGTCCAGGTCGATGAGGCAGCTTACAATGTCCCCCGCTGCCCATGCCTGCCGCAAAAGGTGGCCCTGAAGACACACAGAAGCCCAGCGGCCCACCCCCTCTGCAGCCCCAGCTGCGCTTCCAGGACCGCCCAAGGAGCCTGGCCACACGAGGACAGAGGTGCCGCGCAGTCTCTCCTGCCGGTCCAGTGGCTCCAGATTAGCTTGGGGATGGTCACAGGGCAGGTGACCCAGCTGACTCGTATGAGGCGTGCTCTCACCTTGCCGTAATTTGTGGTGGTCACGTTCCACTTGCGCACCCGGTTGCCATCATAGGCGTAGGAGTTGTGTGTGTCGCCCACCCCCTCCTAGGGAGGAACTGCCCGTGAGGTTGGGGGGCAGGGAGGGGCAGGACCAGAGCCCACCTGTCACCACCCTCAGACCCACCTGGCTCTGGAGAGGGCAGCTGATGCATTCAGGAAAGGGGAGAGGGGTTTCTCTGGGCTGGGGGCCCTGGGCTGAGGGGGGACGCACTCCTCCTCCAGAGAGAAGGCCAGGCCCAAGGGCTGCCAAAGGCCCCTCCACCACGTGTACCTCCTGATTGAAGCGGCAGTTGATGGTGCACCAGCCGATCTGCATGAGCCCCTGCGAGGAGATGAGCACCTCGTAGACCCACTTCCCTGGAGAGAGCCGAGTCAGGCGTTACGGGTGGACAAGGACCGCCTCTCGCCTCGGACTTGGGTCCTCAAACTTCCTCCCGACTCCCTGGGCTGCAGCAGAGGATGGCCTCACCTTTGTACACACACGTGGTAGAGCGGATGGTGCCAAAGTTGCTGTGTCCAATCACCTGGGTGAAGGAGAGGGGTGGTCAGCTTCCTTTTAGCTATATAGACTTCCTTCCCCACCTCCACCTGAGCCGGCCCTGGGGTGCTTCCCTCCACGGCAAGCACCACACTGCACCTGAACAGTGTGGCAGAGGCTAGGCCTGTGTCAGCAGGGAATCTGGGTCAGGGCCATGCTGGGAAGACCTTGGGGCTGTGGCTACCTCAAGAGGGTTTCAGGGCTATGTCTGCAGGTTTGGGGGCTGAGGACATCATGGGCTGGGGCCAGGTCAGGACCAGGTTAGAGCTGTGGCCCCATCCAGAGGAGTGCAGAGACCAGGGCCACATCAAGAGAAGCCTGGGCTATGTCACAAGGAGATGGGCAGGACTGGTGCTGTGGTGCAGCAGGCTAAGCTGCCGTCAGTACTGCTGGCATCCCACAAGGGTGCCAGTTACAGTCCTGGCTGCTCTTCTAATCCAGCTCTCTGCTAATGAGCCTGGGAAAGCAGCGGAAGACAGCCCAAATCCTTGGGCCTCCGTGTCCAGAGGGAGACTCAAAATAATCTCCTGGCTCTTGACTTCGGTCTGGCCTGGTTCTGGCTATTGTGGCCATCTTGGGGAATAAACCAGCAGAAAGAAGACCTCTCTTATCCTCTCTCTCTCTCTTTCAAATAAATAAATAAATCTTTAAAAAAAAAAAAGAAGAAGAAGAAGAAGATGGACCTGGGGCCCACATTTCAACACACTCACCCCCAGGAGGTCATCGTCCACAAGGAGAAGCCCTTCAAAGCCACCCGTGTGGTCCAGGACCACGGTGGATGGGCCGAGCCGCCCTTCAACCTGTCCTGCAAAGGGGAGAGGTGTGGGGTCAGGCAGAGCAAAGCATCTGACAGAACGTAGAGAGGGTACTGAGCTCACCAGAAAAGTCTCCAGGGCCCTCCAGGTCCCCGTTCTGCACCCCAATGCACTCCAGGCTGTCACATACCCTGGCTTTCTTCATCTTCACTGTCCACCTGCAGCAGCTGGTCCAGGTGTTCTGGAAGGTTCTGGAAGTTCAAGGGTTTCCTGGGGAGAGTGAGAGGCTGCCAGGGGCCCACAAGTCCTTGAAATCAGCCGGATGACACTAACCCCTGACTCCCCTCCCTCCCCAGAGCTTCAGAGGGTGGCTGCCTAGATCCCAACACGCAGAAGTGTGGAAAGCTGGATTATCCTCTACTCGCAAAATGGTAACAAATCCTACTCTGCACACTGAGGACTGTTAAACGTGACAGTTCCTCTAGGCCCTAATCCCCTAACTGTAAAGAGCAACAGCTCCACGTCAGAGACACCTGAAGAGTCTAGGAAGCACACACGTCCTGGGCAGAGCCCAGGGCTGTGCACTCTTGAAGGTGGTTGTGTTGATACCTGAGAGAAGGCTGGAGAAATTCCAGTCCCCGCAATGGCCAGCACCAGGCTCACCTGGGCCAGCCCCTGACCTAGGCCTACGGTTCCTTTGCAGGCAGATTTCCAGTCTCCCACCACCCAGCCAGGGGAGTCTGTGCAGACTGACATGTCCTGGCATTAGCTGCTGTGCTGGCTCTGTCCATTTGTCCATAGATGGCCAGCAGAGCACAGGGCACACCTGTCTGACACCTGCTGCAGCCAAAAGGCTGGAAAAATCTGTCAGGGCAGCCCCATGATCCTCTTAGTACACATGCTCAGAGAAGAGAAAGGTCACTGTGAAGTGCTGGCCAGCTCTGTCCTGAGCTCAACTGCTAAGAATAGCAGAGAGCAGGGTGGTGGTAACCAGCGGGACTTGGAGCAGAGGCCTGATGCCCCTCTGCAGCCAGCCCCAAGACAGTCAGCACCTGCCCTGACGCCTTTAATCCCAGTTCCCATCCCACTCATCCGACCAGACAGTAGGCTCTGGAAGGCTCTGGATGGGTCAAAGCACCACCTCTGGCAAGGTAGACCAGGTTTGGGGGACCAAGCCTTTCCCTGCTGTAAGCTGCTACTGACCCTGAGCTGCAGGAGGTGGACATGTGCCAAGGTCCCCCCTCACCCCTGCTGAGCCCCAGGCCAAGCCACGCGGTGCCCAGTAGCATGGAGGGCTAAAGCCTATCCCATCTTTGAATACACAAATGGGCCCAAGGGGAAAGGAGGTTCCTCAAAAGCAGTTCTTGCTGGCCCACACTTGAGAGAACTACTGGGTACCATCCCCCAAAACAAAGCTTCTGGCTGCCCCAAGAACTGACCCCACAGCTATGGGAAGTCATCCTAGACAGCCTCCCCAGAGTGCCCGCAGCACCAGTTTGGCCAATCCTAGCACTTGCCTGCCGCTTCTGGATTCCCAGGTCCCAGCCCACACCAGTGATGGACGGCCCTGCCACCTGCTCTCCCTCCTGGCGGCCACAGCGCTGGCAGCAGGACCATCTCTGGTGTCAGACGAGGTAGGGCTCAGATGGCCCTGGAAACGGGCCAGGACTAGGGCTGGGTACAAGTAGGAACCCTCTGATCATCACAGCTACGGAAATATAATAGGCAATGACACAGCTTTTGGGGGCTGGCAAAGGAGAGGGATGGGGGCAGGGAGAGCTTCTATAGTTCTTTGAAATCATTTGGCAACCATCTTAAAGTGATTGTGGGGGGCAGTGCTGTGGCGTAGCGGGTACAGCCACCACCTGCAGTACCGGCATCCCATATGGGCACCGGTTTGAGCCCTGGCTGCTCCACTTCTGATCCAGCTCTCTGCTTTGGCCTGGGAAAGCACGGGAAGATGGCCAAGTCCTTGGGCCCCTGTACCCATGTGGGAGACCCAGAAGAAGCTCCTGGCTCCTGGCTTTGAATCGGCCCAGCTCTGGCCATTGCGGCCAGTTGGGGAGTGAACCAGTGGATGAAAGACCTTTCTCTTTCTGTCTCTCCTCTCTCTGTGTAACTCTGACTTTCCAATAAATAAATAAATCTTTAAAAAAAAAGTGATTGTGATTCACTTCAGCCACATGACTCCTACCCTGAGCATCCTCACAGCACCGTTTACCACAGCAAAAGCTGCTCCAAACCAGGGCAGTGGTGTGCACCACAGCAGACCCTGGCCTAACAGATGCCAATGGAGATGAATTTATAATGGGGAAAGAAACTCATGGGATAATGTTTAATGATAAAAAAAGGATTCAGGGACAAGGGTTTGGCCTAGTGGCTGAGACACTGCTTGGGTTGCATGTGTTGCATATCACAGTGCCTGGATTCAAATCCCAGATCCACTCCCAATTCCAGCTTCCTGCTAGTGTACACCCTGGGAGACAGCAGGTGATGGATAAAGTATTTGAGTCCCTGAACCAGGTTACTGGATCCCAGCTTTGGCCTGGCTCAGCCTAGCCCTGGCTGTTGCAGGCATTTGGGGGCTATTGCAGGCATTTGAACAGTTGACAAGATCCCTGTCTCTCAAATAAATTATTTTAAAGATTAATTTATTTGAAAGTCAGAGTTACACAGAGAGAGGAGAGGCAAAGAGAGAGAGGTCTTCCATCCAATGGTTCACTTTCCAATTGGCCACAACGGCTGGGGCTGCACCAATCCAAAGCCAGGAGCCAGGAGCTTCTTCTGGGTCTCCTATGTGGGTGCAGGGCCCAAGGACTTGGGCCATTCTCCACTGCTTTCCCAGGCCATAGCAGGGAGCTGGATCAGAAGTGGAGCAGCCAGGTTTTGAACCAGCGTCCATATGGAATGCTGGCACGTCAGGCCAGGGCGTTAACTCACTGTGCCACAGCACCGGCCCCTCAAATAAATTTATTTATTTATTTATTTATATATATATATATATATATATATATATATATATTTGACAGGTAGAGTTACAGATAGTGAGAGACAGAGACAGAAAGGTCTTCCTTCTGTTGGTTCACTCCCCAAACGGCCGCCACAGCTGGCATTGCGCCGATCCGAAGCCAGGAGCCAGGTGCAGGGCCCAAGGACTTGGGCCATCCTCCACTGCCTTTCTGGGCCACAGCAGAGAGCTGGACGGGAAGAGGAGCAACCAGGACTAGAACTGGCGCCCATATGGGATGCCGGTGCCGCAAGCAGAGGATTAACCAAGTGAGCGACAGTGCCGGGCTCCCCCCCGCCAAATAAATTTTTAAAAAATGTTTTTATACATTAGAAGTAGACAGTGAAAAAAAAAATTTTTTTAATGGATCCTGGGGCTAGCACTGTGGCACAGAAGATTAAGCAGCATCCATATGGGTGCTGGTTCAAGTCCTGGCTGCTCCACTTCCCATCCAGCTCCCTACTAATGTACCTGGGAAAGCAATGGAGGATGGCCCAAGTGCTTGGGCCTCTGCCACCCATTTGGGATACCTGGAAGAAGCTCCTGGCTCCAGCATGGCTCAGCCATGGCTGTTGCAGCCATCTAAGGAGTGAACCAATAGATGAAAGACACCTACCTCTCTCTTTTTCTCTCCCTCTTTCTCTGTAATTCTGCCTTTCAAATAAATAAATCTTTTTTATTTCATGGAAAAAAACAGAATTAAAAAGATCACATATATAAAATAAATCTTTTTTAAAAAGACCATGTGTATTAGAAAAAAATAAGAATCAAATGTCTATAAACTTCCAGAAGTGAGGGCTGTTCATTACCTCCACGGTGATGATGGCTTCACAGGTTACGTGGACATTAAAACCTACCGAGCTGTTGCTTTAAGTGTGCAGTTTATTCTAACGATAGCTCAGTAAAACGCTTCCTTAGGGGTGCCGACTGCAGCACAGCAGGTCAAGCTCTAGCCTGTGATGCCAGCACCCCATATGAGAACCAGCTAGAGTCCCAGCTGTTCTATTTCCCATTGAGTTCCGGCTAATGTGCCTGGGAAAGCAATGGAAGATGGCCCCTACGTCCATGTGGGAGATCCAGATGGAGCTCCAGGCTCCGGGCTCCAGCCTGGCTCAGTCCCAGCTGTTGTAGCCATTTGGGGAGTGAACCAACGGATGGAAGCTCGCTCTGTCTCTCCGTCTCTCTCTGGGACTTTTTCAAATAAAATAATTCTTAAAAAAGGAGGGGGAAGGCCGGCGCCGCGGCTCACTAGGCTAATCCTCCGCCTAGCGGCGCTGGCACACCGGGTTCTAGTCCCGGTTGGGGCGCCGGATTCTGTCCCGGTTGCCACTCTTCCAGGCCAGCCCTCTGCTGTGGCCAGGGAGTGCAGTGGAGGATGGCCCAGGTGCTTGGGCCCTGCACCCCATGGGAGACCAGGAAAAGCACCTGGCTCCTGGCTCCTGCCATCGGATCAGCGCGGTGCGCTGGCTGTAGTGCGCCAGCCGCGGCGGCCATTGGAGGGTGAACCAACGGCAAAGGAAGACCTTTCTCTCTGTCTCTCTCTCTCACTGTCCACTCTGCCTGTCAAAAAATAAAAAAAATAAAAATAAAATAAAAAAAATATAAAAAAAAAAAAAAAGGAGGGGGAGGCAGCACTGTGGTGTAACTGGTTGAGCTGCTGCCTACTCTGCAGGCACTCCATACGGCACTGGTTTGAGTCCTGGCTGCTCCACTTCCCATCCAGCTCCCTGCTAATGCACCTGGGAAAGCAGCGGAGGATGGCCCAAGTGTTTAGGACCCTGCACCCATATGGGAGACCAGGATGAGGCTCCTGGCTCCTGGCTTTGGGCTGGCGCTGCCCTCAACATTGCAGCCATGTGGGGAGTGAACCAGTGAATGGAAGCTTGCTCTCGCTCGCTCTTTCTCTTTCAAATAAATAAATCCTAAAAATAAAAAAGAATCGAAGGTGCCAGAAACATTCAAGGCTTTCTGGACAGCATAATCTGAACTACATGCATTGTGAGATACAGGAAACAGAAAGGAATCATATTCAAGTGGTCACATTAAAACAACAAAGTGACAGACGCTTTCCTTCTGCGTCTAAGCTTCTACTGAAGTGTACTTGTACCTTTCACACATTAAACGCGCGAGGAGGAAAGCCTGGCGAGGTCTGTATCTACAGGTTCAGGTGGGCTACACTGGGCCAGGGTGGGGCAGAGGTGTGGGCAGGCACCTGCAGAACCAGACGCTGAGTGCGGAGTAGGTGCCATGTGTTACCTGGGTACTGAACCTGTGCGTGACCTTCACGGTACTCGCAGAGGGAAGGAGCTAGACTGTCTGCAGAGAGGAAGAAGTGGGTCCACAAGGCAGCCCCTCTGGCCAGAGGTCTCAGAGCTAAGAGCAGCAGAGTGAGGCCAGAGCCCGAGCCCCCTTGCCCACACCTGCAGCCTCTGGGCTGGCCCAGCACAGTGAGGAGGGGCTACCACCTGGCCATACCTGCTGGTGGCTGTGGGCGTCGCGTGGTCAGGAGAGGAAAAGATGCGGTGCAGGTAGTCATTCAGCAGCTTCTCGTGCACAATGCCTGGGCCGCAGGTCAGAAAGAGAAAAGGGTTACAGTCAGCGCGGCTCCCGGCCCCTGCCGGCCCCGCAGACCACTGGTCATAGGGCAGCCACGGCGGTCAGAAAAACAGCCCCACTGGAAGAGCTGGCTCACGCCAACGGGAGCAGCAAGTCCTGAGGCTCTCAGGACCCGTCTCTCCTGTCCTTCCCCCGTCCCCAGCGCGCGGGCCCTCCCTGCCCTACCAGCCCTCACCTGTGACCCTGGGCCTCTCCGTCTCCGAGGTCAGCCGATAGCTCTTGCGGGAGAGAGGCACGCCGGCCCCCTTGGACGCCATCCCTCATCTCCCATGGGCAGTCCGTGCTCCTGGAGGCTGAGCCAGAGCAGAGCCCGTCTACACAAGGCCTGCCAAGGGCCCCCACACCTGACCTCCGCCTGCAACGGCAGGAAGGCTTGGGAGCAGGTGAGGCCAGAAGCACACACGTGTACCAGCACCGGCAGGGAAAGCAGAAACTCCCAGCTGCCCACACGGGGAAGGCAGGTGGGGTCTGGGCCCATCGACAGTAACCACGTCTTCTTCCCTGCTGTGTCCCAGCGCTCAGCACAGGACCCAGCAGAGTGCAGGTGCCAGGTGTGTGTCTGCTGAACCATACTAAATGTCTCAGCTCTGGGGAGATCAGACCAAAGCAAGATGACCTAGGCAGAGCCCCTGTATCCAAGTCTGTCATAAGCTACACTGGGCCCAGCTCACACTCAGGACAAAGAACCCCACAGCACATTCCCGCAAGTGCAGACACGGCTGCTGGCTCCACCCTCAGCCACAGGCCCAGGTACACCGCTGACGTCAGGACCTCTCCTCAGGCCCGGTCCCACCAGTTTTCTCGTTCCCACTCACACATACGACTTCCCACTCCATCCACGCACCACGCCTGCTCAGCCCTCATTGCAGACTTCATTGTTCTTCCCACCACGGTCAAGCCCTCACGTGTCATTTGCTATAGCTGCTCCAGAACCTGCATTAAGTTCCTGGTGCTGGCCTATGGCCTACAGCTGTGTTGCCCAACACAGTGGTTATTTAAACCCGAATTAAAGTTTTAAAAATTAAAAATTCAGGGCTGGGGCTGGGGCTGGGGCTGGCGCTGTGGCATAGCGGGTAGAGCCACCACCTGCGGTGCTGGCATCCCACATGGGCAGCAGTTTGAGTCCCAGCTACTCCACTTCCAACCCAGCTCTGTGCTATGGCCTGGGAAAGCAGAAGATACCCCAAGTCGCTGGGCCCCTGCACCTGTGTGGGAGACCCAGAAGAAGCTCCAGGCTCCTGGCTTTGGGGAGTGAACCAGCAGATGGAAGACCTCTCTCCCTCTCTCTCTGTCACTCTCTTTAACTCTTTCAAATAAATAAATAAATCTTTAAAAAAAAATTCGGGGCCATTGCTGTAGCACACCACGTTAACCCGCTGCTTGCAACGCAAGTATCTCATATAAGAGTACAGGTGCAAGACCAGGTTACTCTCTCTTTTTTTTTTTTTTTTTTTTACGACAGGCAGAGTGGACAGTGAGAGAGAGAGACAGAGAGAAAGGTCTTCCTTTGCCGTTGGTTCACCCTCCAATGGCTGCCGCGGCCAGTGCGCTGCGGCCGGCGCACCATGCTGATCCGATGGCAGGAGCCAGGTGCTTCTCCTGGTCTCCCATGGGGTGCAGGGCCCAAGCACTTGGGCCATCCTCCACTGCACTCCCTGGCCACAGCAGAGAGCTGGCCTGGAAGAGGGGCAACCAGGACAGAATCCAGCGCCCCAACCAGGACTAGAACCCAGTGTGCCGGCACTGCAGGTGGAGGATTAGCCTAGTGAGCCGCGGCACCAGCCTTCAAACATAAATCTTTTTTAAAAATTAAAAACGTGGGCCTAGCCTTGTGGCACAGCAGGTCAAGCCACCACCTGCAATGCTGGCATCCGTGTGAGTGCAGGTTTGAATCCAGCAGTTGCACTTACCGTTCCGTTCCCTGCTAATGCGCCTGGGAAAGCTGCGGAAGATGACCCAAGCATTTGGGTCCCTGCTGCCCCGTGGGGGAGACCTGGATGAAGCTTCTGGCTTCAGCCTGGTCCAGCCCTAGCTGTTTCGGCCATTTGGGGAGTGAACCAGTGGACGGAAGATCTCTCTTTTCTGTCTTTCAAATAAGTAAACCAATCTTTTAAACAAAATTAAAAATTCAGTTGCTCAATTAGCCCCACTTCAAGGGCTCAGCGACCACATGTAGCTAATGGCTGCCATGCCGGACAGCACAGCTGGAGCGCATCTCTGCCATCACACAAAGTTCTAGCCGCTCCCTTCTAGAGCTCGGCCCTCCGGCACAGCCTTAGCCCAGTCTCTTATCTCACCCCAAACAGGCCCTCTGCTACCCTCACGAACCCTCGCCTCCCCGCACCACCCTTGCCTGCTGGGTGATTCTCCCGCCCTGCCACCCATCTGCGGACCCTCGGCGGGCGTCCACGATTAGAGCCCCGCCTCCTCTCACACCAGAGTAGCTGTAGGAATGATCTGACGCGGTCACTCCCTGACCAGCAAACCTTGCAGACACCCCCCACCCACCCACCCACTCCAGCTGTCAGGCGCTGAGGACCCAGGTGAAAGGCGGACCCTGCCCCTGTCCGAGGACTCCTTGCCACGGCAATCCTGCCCAGTCCCGCCAAAGGACTCCGTCTCGGAGTCCAAGGACGCCGAGGGCAGCAGCGCACGGCTCCCCCAAGTCGCCCCCGTCTAGCCCCAAGCTCCAGAAGACCTGCCAGGACAGCACCCGCCCGGAGTCCCGCACCACAGGCCGCCATTCCACGCGCGGCGGGCGCCCTGGCACTGGACATGCCTGGGCCGCGAGGGGAGCCACGGGGACCCGCCCCGCTCAGAGCCCGGCCTCCCCTCACTCACCCCCAGCCTCGGCCGCCGCGACCGGCTCACAACATCCGCCCAGCCTCTCAGCTACGGCGCCCGTCCAGGGCCAAGCCGCGCACCCAATCGCGCGCCGCCGTCCGCGCACGCGCACCGGCCCGCGACCGGCCTCCGCCGGGGAGCCCGGTTCCGTGGCCACCTGCCGGGTCTTCCTGGCGTTGGCTTCCCGAGAGGGTCCACCTGCTTCTGACCCCTGCGTGCCCTGGGGCGCTCCTAGCCCACACGCGATTTCCCATCGGGGACCCTAGACCACCTGTCAACTCCTACCTGACCCAGATGTCCCCCAGCCCGTCTGAAAGGCCCCGCAGCAGGAGTTCCGCTGCCTGTCACCCCCCTCCCCTATTTAAGGCCAGCGCGTGCCCTTACTCACCTTCGCAAGATGAGGCTTCTGGCAGGTGGCGTGGGCCTCCCTGGGTTCGGCTGCCAGGGGCGTGGCCTGACTTGCCTACAGCTGGGGCAGATAAGGCACCAAAAGGGGGTGGCCGTGCTGCGGTTGGGGCAGGCAATGTTCCCCACATCACAGGGGAAAACTGAGGCTCGGAAAATGTTCACGTTACCAGGCAGGGGCTGGAACCCAGGCCTCTGGCAGCTGCCATGTCCACAGGTTCTCTGGCAGTCTAGGCTTGTCCACCCCTGGTCTGTGGCACCTCAAGTGTCCTCACTTCCTGATACCTGCCCACTACATAGAGAGGCCTCTTAGGGGCCTAGCTGTGTCAGGATGAGGCTTCTGCATCTGACTCACGGAGCCTGAGGCCTGGGCCCTACTGGCTCCTGCCACAGGGTCTCTCTGGCCGTGGGGGCGTGGGCCTCGAGCCACCCAATCCCGAAGGGACAGGTTTCACAACTTCCCGGATGGGGCTGTGGTGGGTCACAGTGCAGCCTCCAGCAGGCAGGATGAGGTGGCTCCCACTGTTGCTGCTTCTGACGTGGTGCTCAGGGGCCCCTGGTGAGTGCCCCCTTCCCCGATCCCTGTCTGCATTCAGGAGGAGGTTGGCCTCGGGCCCACGCTAACCTGACCACGAGGTCAGTTCCCGGCTGGGCATGGCCAGGTGTCCTTGACTTCTTGCAGGGAGCTGGGAAGCCCTGGGAACGCACAGCCACGGTGTCGCTGAGGCCTCCATCTGCTGCAGCACTGAGGCAGTGCTGGGACCAGAGGCACCCACACAGCAGGCAGAGACCGCCCCTGAGCCTGCTCTCCCCTCTAACCTAGCAGGTGCCATTGTGCTCCTGACAGCCCAGACACAAAGTGAGACTGCCTAGGCTGGGTGCCCGCCGGAGGCACCAGGGTTCTGAGCTTTAGCATTCTCCTTTAAGAGATGAAATGGGACGAGCTTTATAGAGCAAGCCCCATCACCCAGTGCTGCCACGGAGTGCACATGTTACACCTGAGCCCGGTGCCTACTGGGAACCACTGTGTCTGGGCCTGCCTCTCCCACCCTATGCAGGGGGCGCTGAGCTGGCCCTGAGAGTGCACACAGGACCCATCTTGTATCTTTGATCCCCTGAACGGACAGTGTGGGGTCATGCCAGTACACACACCGTGACTCACGCTATGACATGTGCTCCCACCTGCCCTGTGCCCACCACTGTTGGCCACCCTGCAGGGCAGCGGTCAGCACTGAACGACTTCCAAGTGCTCCGGGGCACAGAACTGCAGCACCTTCTCCATGCAGTGGTGCCTGGGCCTTGGCAGGAAGATGTGGCAAACGCTGAGGAGTGTGCTGGGCGCTGCCAGCCCCTACTGGACTGCCGGTGGGTGACCAAGGGACCCAGATGAGTCCAGGCGCATGGGAACCGGGGGCACTGGGTGACTCGGTGCTGCCTTTCTGCCCAGGGCCTTCCACTACAATGTGAGTAGCCATGGTTGCCAACTTCTCCCATGGACCCAGAACTCGCCCTACACACGGCTGCAGCAGTCTGGGCGCTGTGACCTCTTCCAGAAGAAAGGTTGTGGGGAGGGGCAGGGGCAGTGGGATGGGGCTCTAGGGTCTCAGTCAACGTTGACCTTCGATCTCTTTCTGCCAGACTATGTACGGACCTGCATCATGGACAACGGGGTTGGGTACCGGGGCACCGTGGCCACAACTGCAAGTGGCTTGCCATGCCAGGCCTGGAGCCACAGGTTTCCCAATGACCACAAGTGAGACAGGCATCTTCCCTCTGTCCCTATCCGGAGCTCACCCCCAGCTAGCGCTAGAGTGACACTTTCTGCCCCCAGGTACACGCCCACACTGCGGAACGGCCTGGAAGAGAACTTCTGCCGCAACCCGGACCGGGACCCTGGGGGTCCCTGGTGCTACACGACAGACCCTGCCGTGCGCTTCCAGACCTGCGGTATCAAGTCCTGCCGGGAGGGTAAGTGCAGTTAAGCCCGGGGAGGGAAGGACAGGCCCAGGCCGGTCCGCGAACGCTCGGGCCTTGGGTCTCCAGCCGCTTGTGTTTGGTGCAATGGCGAGGATTACCGAGGCGCGGTGGACCGCACGGAGTCGGGACGCGAGTGCCAGCGCTGGGACCTGCAGCACCCGCACACGCACCCCTTCGAGCCTGGGAAGTAAGTGCGAGGAGGGATGGCGCCCTCCGGGGGCGGGGATCGCTACAGAAGGCGACTGGGCGGGGCGAGACGGTGCCTCCCCCCCACCCCCGTCGTGTTCACGCCTCCCTGTCGCCCCCAGGTTCCTCGACCAAGGCCTGGACGACAACTACTGCCGGAATCCTGACGGCTCTGAAAGACCCTGGTGCTACACCACCGACCCGAAGCTGGAGCGGGAGTTCTGCGACCTCCCTCGCTGCGGTAGGGCCGCGGGACCCGGGCCCGGGGCGTGCAGGGGAGGTGGGAGGGGCGAAGGGCTGGGCGCGGCCCGGCGGCGGGTCAGGTCCCAGCCGCAGCTCCGATCCCCTCCCGCTCTGGTTCCGACTCGCCTCGGTCCGTCCAAGGTCCTGAGGCACAGCCGCGACCCCAAGCTACGACTCTCAACTGCTTCCGCGGGAAGGGTGAGAACTACAGGGGCACCGTCAATGCCACCGCCGCAGGCGTGCCCTGCCAGCGCTGGGACGCTCAGAGTCCGCACCAGCACCATTTCGAGCCTGCGAAATACGAGTGCAAGTGAGGCGGTGGGCGGGGCGCACCCCGCGGAGGGCACCGCAGGAGGGGGCCCCCGGGGCTGGCTGGCGAGCCAGGTGGGACCTCGGCCCTCCGCCAATGGCAGTGCCTGCTCAGGGACCTTCGCGAGAACTTCTGCCGGAACCCCGACGGCTCAGAGGCGCCCTGGTGCTTCACCACCCGGCCTGGAATGCGTGTGGCCTTCTGCTACCAGATCCCGCGCTGCGCAGACGACGTGCGGCCAGAGGGTGAGGTCCGAGCAGGGGGGCGTGTAGTCGGAGAGCTGGGTTGAGGCGGAAGCTGACAGCTGTCCTCGTCTGCCTGCTGCAGGCTGCTACCACGGCGTAGGGGAGCACTACCGCGGCCGGGTCAGCAAGACTCGCAAGGGCATCCCCTGCCAGCACTGGTCGGCAGAGACGCCGCACAAGCCGCAGTGAGCGTGCCCGACTCCGCCCGGGCCTGAACCCTCGGTTGCATGCCTGCCGTGCCCTCCTGGAGCCAGGCGAGGGTTTGAGACTGGCGGGCTGACTGCTCCCTTTCTGCCTAGGTTCACGCCCACCTCAGCCCCACAAGCTCAACTAGAGGAAAACTTCTGCCGGAATCCAGATGGAGATAGCCACGGGCCCTGGTGCTACACTACCGACCCAGGGACCCCATTTGACTACTGTGCCCTGCGACGCTGCGGTGAGGCTGCTGACAGTCCCCCCAAAACCCGTGGTGAGCAACCATGGCCAAGGGCTGTCTTCCTTAACCTGGATGAACTTGGTGTTTCAGATGATGATCAGCCACCGTCCATTCTGGACCCTCCAGGTATGTACCCTGGTCAGTAGCAGGTGGAAGCCCCTTTATCCTTTTCCTCTACTCAGCTGGGGTCTCGCTGCCTACCACCCGCCCCCTCCCTCTCCAGACCAGGTGCTGTTTGAGAAGTGTGGCAAGAGAATGGATCGGCTGGACCAACGGCGCTCCAAGCTGCGAGTGGTGGGGGGCCAGCCGGGGAACTCACCCTGGACTGTCAGCTTGCGGAACCGGTGAGGACAGCTAAGGCCGAGTCCTCTGTGGTTATGCCAAAAGACGGCAGGTCCTACACTTGTCCCAAGACTCACGGTTCCCTCTCCTAACCCCCACTCCAGGCAGGGCCAGCATTTCTGCGGAGGGTCCCTGGTGAAGGAGCAGTGGGTACTGACTGCCCGGCAATGCTTCTCCTCCTGGTGAGCCCCGCTTGGACCTGGGGTCCCAGACCCACCCCCTCGCCCTGCCCCCCCACCCCCAGCCACCTGAGCCTGGGGCAGCAGACTGGGTGTCTGAATGACCCAGGAGAGCCTCTTTCCCAGCCATGTGCCTCTGGTGGGCTACGAGGTATGGCTGGGCACCCTGTTCCAGAACCCCCAGCCTGGGGAGCCGGGCCTCCAGCGGGTCCCAGTAGCCAAGATGGTGTGTGGGCCCTCGGGCTCCCAGCTGGTCCTGCTCAAGCTGGAGAGG